GGTTTCCGACACCCCGCGGCGTGCGGGGTTGGGTCTGGGGCTGCAGGACGGCAGGCGGAGGTGTCGATCTCCCCGCGCGGTGGCTCTGGGTCCGGACTGCAGAGGTGGTACCATGGGCTGCTGTTCCAGCCGCTGCACGCTCATCTTTCTCTGCACTTTCCAGCTGGTGGGTAGCGTCCCCTTGTCGGGCCCCGCAGTCTCAGCGCGCGGTGGGATCTGGGCGCCGTCCGCCGCCCCCAGCCCTGCACGCAAGGTCCGCGCCTGCCTCTTGGGGCTCCTGGCCGGGGACCGCTGGGGCTCGCCGGCTTCTGCGACCGAAGTTCGCCGCCGCCCCAGGGGGCGTGGGAACCCAGAGCCCTGTGCGCGACCCCGACGGCCCCGACGGCCTGCCCCGCGCGCCCCGCTGTGTGTGCGTGCGCGTGCGCGTGCGCGTGCGCGAGACAGCCAGACGGTCCCTAGCGGCGGGCACAGGTGTGCGGATCGGCTGGAAGGGGCGGGCGCGGAACAAAAACCCGACATCTCGGCCTTGGCGACTCCGCTGGTCCGGTGGGCCCGGTGGGCGCGGCGCGGTCGCAGAGGGGCCCAGCTGCTCGAGCGGCCTTCGCGGGTCAAAAGGCGTGTGTGGCACCAAGTGCGTGTGAGGAGCGAGTGCGCCTGTTTCTCAAGCCCGTGCCAGGCCCCGAGTGGACGGCAGCGTCCGTTTCTGAGGCCCGACAGCCCTTTGGGTGGCAGGTGCCTGAGGGTTTGGGCGTGTGCGCATGTGTCGGGGGAGTGTGAGCCCGGCCCTGGCCCGTGCTGCTGTCCCCCAAGCTGGAGCGGTGGGGAGAGATGGGGAGCGGATGAGGCGGGGAGCGCTGGAGCCCGTGGCCAGGCCCACGCTTGAGGTCTTTGTGTCTGGGGTTGAGGGAGGGCCGGATGCAGAGCTTCGTGAAGAACTGAGACGTCCCGTAGCCAAGTTTCCCGTCTACCCTGGAGCTGCGGGGTGCCAGGTCCGTTCCCAGAGCCCCATCACCACCTCGCTCTGGGGGAGGCGGCGGAATAGAGGTCTGGGCCACTGGGCTGGGAAGGAGGTTCCAACGCCCCTGGGCCCCTGGCCGTGAGAAGGAGATGCTGCTTTCCTGAGGCCTGTCCGGCTTGTTCTGCGCTGCTGGCCCTGTGCCTCCTCCCGGAGCCCGGGCCCAGGAGGCCACCGGCTGCTTCAGAGAAGCCGTGGGTAGGAAGGCCTCTTGTACGTGGCTGCGCAGGGCTGCGTGTCCTCTCCTTCGCCTGGGTCGGGGCTTGCTGGTCTAGCTGGCAGGGGGCGGAGAAGCTGCAGGAGCTTCCCCCGGTGGGGCAGCCTCAGTGCTGAGCCAGCCTTCGTGAAGGGGCTGGGTGATGGGAAGCGAGGCGGGCCGTCTGCGAGGGGGGGTGCGGGGGGGGTTGTGCAGACGAGCCTGGGAGAATGACCCCGCCTGACAAAAGGCCGGAGGCCCAAGGACTGTCTCACTGCCATTGAGAACCGCTGCAGGCCTTGGGGCAGCTGTGCTTCTCCCCTCTGCAGGTTGGAGGCACCCGGGGAGCAGGCATCCCTTTGGGGGGCTCTTTGGGGTGGGTTAGGAAGCAGGAAGAGGAAGGAAGGGAGGATGGGTGAAAGGCAGGAGGTTCGCGGGCTGGCGACCGGCAGCCTGCTGGCGGCGTGTGGGCATCAGGAAGCTGAGCTGCCTTAGGGAGTGCTGTGACTTTGTTTGGGTTTCCGTGTTGAGTTTGCTGTGTGGGTTTGGTTTGGGGTTGACATGTGGGCTGGGACACAGGGCAGAAGAGCCAGATGTACTAGCCCAGAGATGTGGCCTCAGGGGTCGGAAGGGTCAGGTCAGGCAACGTTGCCTGTTTGACCTCTGAGGTGAACAGTGGACGGTGGGCACATGGGCACCCTGCAGGCCCCTGGGAAGGGGCTGAGCTAAGGCGGAAGGGGTGTCTTGGCTCAGGGCTGCAGGGCTTCCCTGGACCAGGGGCTTCTCAACCAGGCGAGCCAGAGGGCTGGGCCAGCGCTGTGTCCCCCTGGGGCCGGCCACGCTGAATGCAGCAAGGAGTTGTGAAAGGCCCTTTGTCCTGGCCGTCCACCCACCCCCTCTGGGGGTGGCAGAGTGAGATGAGGTCTGACATCACCTGTCACTCTGGTCACTGTGTGGGGCAGGGGCCTGAGGGGGGTCCTGGGGTTTTTCCCTTCTCTTTCTGACCAGTGTCAGAGTTTCTGGCTTACCCAGCTGCGGGACCAAGCCTCAAGAGGAGACTACGTCGAGGCACTTTCCCCGGCTGAGCCCCTCGTGGTGACAGGGGGCGCAAGGGCTCGACAAGGGGTTTGGGTGGAGGCTGTTCGTTCATCTCCTGCCTTGAGGTTGTGGCCACAGCCGAGCCTTCCAGTGTCCGGGTTAGAAACGAAAAAGGCGGAGAGACACCCCACGCGGCCTCCGCCCCAGCCCGCAGGGTCTGTCCTCTGGCATCGGACCCTGGGGGCTGCCCCCCAGTCTTAGTGAGCCATTAGCAAGGATGTGCACGACACTCACGGCGTGAGGCCATGAGCCCACTGGGCGCCAGGCGCCCTGGGCTCTAGGGGGAAGGTCGGGCAGAGTTCAAAGAGCCAGGAGTGTCCGAGATTCCCGCAGCCACTCAGCGGCTCCGGTTATCCTGGAGCGTGTCACCCCGCTTCTGTCTCTCAGGCGAGGACAAGCCCACCCCCGCCCGGCTGCAGTAGCCCAGCTTCATGGGGGCTTGTCTGGGACAGCCCAGGGCAGGCCTGCCAGTAGGAGGAGCTGTGACCTGAGGGAAAGTGGCTTGGGGGTGGGCACCTCCCTGGGGAAGTTTCCCCATGCCAGGCAGGCGGGCCCGCCCGCTTCCCACGCCCAGCCGACTCCTAGAACCAACCCTAGCCCACGCTTAGAATGTCCCCCTGCGCAAGACCTCCTGGAAATAGCCACCACCCCCTCAGGGCCATCCGTGGTGACTGGACAGTGCCCAGGACACACCCACAGCATTTTTTGGGGGGGCGGGAGTCAGAGTCTCACGAGGCTTCTGGACACGGGCCAAGAGCAAGCAGAGGAGCTGGGGTGGGGAAGGGACAAACGCTCTGGCCGAGGTCGGGGCCTCTGTGGCCGGCAGACCCAGTGACCCCAGGGTAATCCACGAAGGCTCAGCCTGCTGGACTCTCTGCTCAGTCGTAGCGCTGGGGACCCTGTGGGAGGTGGAGGCTGCCCCCTCATCCCACCCCCGCCCTTGGTTCCAGCTGTTCCCGCTCTTGGTTTCGGCTGTGCGGTCTCGGGGAGGGACGTGCGGCAGCCTTGACCGGTTATGAGGAGACTCTGGTTTCCTCCGCTCACGCCTAGAGCCTGCTTGGCGGGGCTCCCCTCCCTCCCCCCGCCGTCAGAGCCCTCCCCCAATACCAGGGCTCAGCCTCCAGCCCACGCACCAGCGGTCACTCTGGGTCAGGGACTGGCCTCTCGCTCTCCCACTGCCAACGGAGTGCTGGGCGCACAGTCGCGGCCCTCCTTGGTGTGCTCTTTCCAGGGTGCCGCCGGGCCTTTCCAGGCCTCCCTGGGTGCAGAGGGTTCCGCTGTATTTTCTCAGTGTTTTCTCTATGCCAGCTTGTGTGACAGGCCTGGCCCACACACATGACGGGTGAATGAATGAATGAATGAGTGAATGAGTGCGTGCTCTCTGGAGGCCTGGCGGCTCAGAGCCCGTCAGTCTCCCCACGTATAAGACGTCACGTTCCTTAGGCGTTTCATTCCCTCCGCTTGGTCCCCTGTGTGGCCCCTGGCCCCGCCCTCAGAGCAGCCCTGAGTTCTCATTCTGCAGGTGAGGGCGCCGGTGGGATGGGACCTTTCAAAACAGAAGGAGCCCCAGTGGAGAGGTTTCTGGGCTGTTGGACCCATCTGGAGATTTCGGGTGGAAGAGCCAGGACCACAGCAGGCCCTTGAGTGGGGTGACTAGGCAGGAGGTCCCTCGGGGGCCGCTACCCCTCACGCCCTGGCCCTGCCCTAGGTCACCGCCCTGGAGAGGCAGGTGTTCGATTTCCTGAGCTACCAGTGGGCGCCCATCCTGGCCACGTTCGTGCACATCGTGATGGTGATCCTGGGGCTCTTCGGCACCATCCAGTACCGGCCTCGCTACGTGGTGGTGAGTCCACTGGGAAAGTGGGCTGGGCGACTGGCACGGGGCCTCCAGTGGCGAGTTGTCCTAGAAACCACCGGAACACCCCAGAAAGGCCAGGGTTTTCGCCTCACATCACCTTCCCGGACCCCCAGACCCAAACCTTCCCGCAGCCCGGGCATCTAGAATTCCGACCTGGAAACAGGCACAGAGCCCGAGCCCCAGCCCAGGGCAGGACTGGATTCCGGGAAGCCCCAGCCCCGCCCTGCACGCTGCCATCCCGCCCACGCAGATCGAAGTAACCGGTCTGGACGGGGTTTGTAGCAAGCGTATCCTGCAGAGCTCGATGGCCGGTGTCTCAGGCCTTGGGGGTCATGGTCTTGGCTGTGGCACAGACACGGCCTTGCCCAGTAGTGGACAAGCGGGCATGGCTGCGTCCCACTAAGACTCTACAACAGCAGGCGCCAGCCCACAGGCCTCCACTCCTGCAGGCCACTCTCTGGGGTGCTCTTTTGGGGGGCTTTAGGGATGCTGGGGTTCAGACATGTGTTTGTCATCCGTCAACTTTGGGTGGGCCACGGGCATCTCTTGGCCAGGACACAAAGTGAAGAAAGGGGTCCTTACAGCCGAGACCTGGCAAGCCCCCACCCCCTTAGAGGCCTCCAGGGGCAAAAGCAGGGCCCCCCCAAGAGCTGGGTTCACCTTCTCTGCCTCCTTGTCTCCCTAGTACGCTGTGTGGGCCACCATCTGGGTCACCTGGAATGTTTTCATTGTCTGCTTCTACCTGGAGGTGGGCGGCCTCTCGAAGGTGCGTAAAGCTGAAGGAGACTCACGCAAACGGAGGGGACACGGCCGCCACGCCCGTGTCAATCATCTGTCCCCACATACACAGAGGCAGAGCTGTGTCTGCACGTGGCTCTGTCCCTGGCCCCCGGAACAGTCCTGGTCCACAGCAGTGGCTCGGCGAAGGTCTGGGGACCGACCAATGATTTGGTAGATGGATGAGGGGCTGTGGGCACTGGTGGACTGGTGGCCCCCGGCTGGGGGGATATGCACCAGGGAAGGCTTCCCGGAGGAGGGGGCCCCAGAGCCTGGGCAGCACCCGCAGCGAGAGTCAGGGCTGAGGCTCAGGGAGCAGAGAACGGGCCAGGCGGAGGTGTGCGGGCGGGAGGGCTCCCATGTGGGGCTGAGCCGGGCAGAGCAACGCCGCCCTCCCGCGTCCTCTGGCCACTCTGCGCTTTCAGACGTGGATGGAGTCCAGGGCCCCGCCTGCAGTGGGGGTGCGTGTGAGGGGCGGGGATCCACGCCCAAGCCCTGCACTGCTGGGAGTGTCCAGGTGAACAACTCCTGCCTGAGCGGCGCTTTGCACATAGCATTTTATTTCATCCCTGAGTGAGGCTCAGAGGTAGGTCTTCAGAGGACCAGGGGTGTGTGGATTTGACCCCGGGGACCAGGTGGATGCTCAGCGGAGCCGACTGAGGCAGCAGCAGTGGAGATGGATGTAACAGTCACACGAACTGGGGGTGTTGGCTCGAGATGTGAAGGGGGGCCCAGGGTACCATGAGAATGCCTCGTGGGGGCCTGGCCTGGGCAGGGAGGCCTTCCTGGAGGAGGGGGTGTGAGCCGAGGGCTGAGAGCAAGCAGAGCCAGGCCTGGCCATCTGGAGAACAGCTGGGAGGGCTTTGGTGCCGCTGCCCCTCCTGCCCAGAGCGCAAGGGTGCCCCAGGGCAGGAGAGGTGGGAGGGCACCCTGTCCCCTCTTCGGCAGCCCACCATGGGCTGCAGTGAGTGGGGGCGGTGGTGTCTCTGGTGCTGACCTGGTCCCAGCCCTTTGCCCCCAGGACAGCGAGCTCCTGACCTTCAGCCTCTCCCAGCACCGTTCCTGGTGGCGTGAGCATGGCCCTGGCTGTCAGCGTGAGGAGCCAGCGGCCGGCCTGGGGGCCCACGTTGGCCAGGCTGTGGTGCTGGGCATAGGCTGCACCCTGGAGCATGGCTACGTGGAGGCCCTGCACAGCACCCTGCAGATCCTGGTGGCAGTGAGTGTGGGGCGGGGCCTGGGGTGCTGGCTCGTTCAGCAACGTAACAAACAGGGCGCAGACGGCCAGGTCCCAGGCCTTTCTTGCACAGAGCAGAGGGCCACGCCGTCCTCTGGCAGGGCAGGACGCCCGTCCTCGTCCCCGAGGCTGAGGACTCACACCACCGCTCCCACCTGTGTGGCCTGAGGCGCCTGCTCTGTAAATGCGCCCACGGTCCCGCAGGAGCAGTGTGCGGCTGAGACCCGCAGGCTCGGAGAGCACTGTGGGGCCCGACGCTGGGCCGCTGCAGTCCGTCTGCTCCCTGCCCTGCAGGCAGCATGGGCAGGAGAGACGCTCCACCCCGCTGGCCAATGGGACCATTTCCTTGTGGGACAGTGGGCCCTGGAGAGGGAGTTGGAGACCCAGCCTGGCCCACGCCCGCTGGCTGCTTCCTGCTCCCGAGGTGTCGGGAGTAGGGCTGCAGATTACGTGAATAAAAATACAGGACATTCGGTTAAATCTAAATTCTGGAGAAACAAGAAGTAAGTTTTAGTGCACATGTGTTCCATGCCATGACGGGATGTACTTACGCTAAAAATCACAGTTCATCGCTTATCTGAAATTTGGACTCAACTGGGTGCTCAGTATTTTATCCGCAACCCCAGAGAAGTGATTTACTGTAAGAGGCCTGATTGCAGGAGGGTCAGGGGCACACACTTTGCCTTGCGGGGAGCCCGCTGCTGTTTGCTTTGGAGGGTGCAGGTGAGGTCCACCCTTGGCTGAGGCCGCGCAGTCAGGCCAGGAGGAGAGAACTAGCCAGACGAGGCGAAGCACCAGCCTGGGAGAGTTGGGACTGCAGGTCCTACCAGCATCTGGAGAGCTTCATGGAGGAGGGGGGAGCCTGGGCGGCAGAGGGCAGGGCGGGGCGGCCGGTGGGCCATCCTCCCCAGCCCCCTCCGAGAGCAGGCCCCAGGAGGTGTCTTCAGCACCACGGCCAGCTCCCAGGCCTGCTCCTGCAGCCCCACAAGGCGCCCCTTCCCTGCGCCCATGTCCTTCAGGAAGGCTTCCCAAGTTTGTCCTTCAGTAGCAGGAGACAGACCTGCCTGCCAGCTCAGAGGAGGCCATGGCCTGCCCCTCGGAAGGGCAGTGGCCTGCAGAGCAGGGGACACAGAGCTGAGCCCTCCTAGCGTGCCTGTCAGCCCCGGCTGTCAGGCTGGTCCCCTCATTCCCATTGGAGAGGGTGCCGTTCTCTGATGGGGCATGAGCCGAGCTCGGGAGCAACTTGCCCCATGGTCAGTGTCGTCCAGGCCCGGTAAGTGTGGAGGGCTCGGGCCGCGGACAGTGCCAGCCCTGGCCCACCTCAGCTGGAGCCCTCTATTCCTGGAGGCCTGGGGCCCAGGGTCCCGTCGGGACTTGACTGTGGTCCTGCCCTCTGAGCACCCGCTGGCAAGGGGCCTCTGCCTCTGATGGCAGCCGGCTCACCCATTCTGCCCAGAATGGCTTGCTGGGCCAAGGCCTGGCTGTCTCTCCCACACTTCCAACCAAACCATACAGCTGTGGCTGTCTGGAGGTGGCCCATTCCCCAAGGTGATTGTCTGCTTCAGGCCCCTGGGGAGATGGCCTGGCTGTGATGGGCGTGGGCCTCAGCCTGCAGGTCTGTACGGGCTGTGGTGACACATCTCCCAGAGCCTCTCTCTGCCTCTCATCTCCTGTTAATGTAGGGGCTTGGTCATCTTCCTGGCTCTCTTGTCCAGCGGCCAGCCTTATCCGCTGGGGGCCCTGGCCCGAGTGTCGCCCGCTCACCCGCAGGGGCTGGGCCAGCCTTCATGGGGATGCCGCACGCCGCCCAGGACTCCAGAGCTGGTCCCACGATGCACTGCTCCAGCTCGCCCCGGCCTCTCGCTGTCTTCCAGCTGGTGGGCTTCATGTGTGCCTGCTGCGTGGTCAGTGTTTTCACCGAGGAGGAAGACAGCTGTAAGTGTGTGGCCAGCAGTTAGGGACATGTGGCCCAGCCCTGCCAGGCAGTGGGGAGGAGAGGGAAGCAGCCTGGCCACAGGTGGTTTCCCCAGGTTCTCCTGCCCGCCCCCTGGGGACCACCTGAGACCTCCCCTCTGAGACGGGCCCCTATGCCCATGGGGATCTTTGCCTGAGCAGAGAGGGGATGGTCCAGCCACCCAAAGAGAAACGAAGAGGGGTCCCAGGCTACGGGTACCAGGGGCCAGGTCACCCCAAGACCTGTAGGTTCGTGGGCTCCTGTGCTGCAGGGCTGGCCCCCAACGATCCCACAGCTGCCTCAGCTGGAAGGCTGAGCCCCCAGACCTGTGGGGGAATGGGCCACTCTGCCTCCCTGAGGCTGAGAATAGCCCGCTGGCCGGATGTTCCTGCAGGCCCTCAGCACTGGCCCGGGCCAGCTGAGCAGCCCTGTCCCTTTCCCTCCCCTGAGAGCCCCGCTCGGCCCTCCACCGACCTGCACGTCGGCCCTGCTGTTCTCACGGGCCCGACTCAGACACGGTCTCCTGCGAAGGCCCCGCAGAGAACAAAGCCAGAGTGGACACGCCCCTGGGGTCAGAATCAAACCAGAATTCAGAGCCTCTGTCCCTGGAGTCAGGTGGCTCTGGGGTGGGCAGTCCGTTTGTCCAAAGGGCATCCTGCAGCTCCCAGACCAGCCCCCAGCTCCCCTCAGCCCTCAGACCGCATGCCCATCCAACCATGTCCCAGAGCACAGCTGGCTGGCAGGAGACAAAGGGGCTTCGTGTGCTGGTCACATTAAAACACACTAGGATGGGAGCCAGCCCCGGGGTTCAGAAATGCATTTGTTTTGCCCAGAAAGCCCCTGCCACACACTAGCTGTGCAGACAGCTCCGAGGGGCGTCTGAGTGATGTTTGTGAACGTGACTGGGGTGGCGACTGGGAGGGCCTGCAGGGCGAGGTGCAGCCCCCAGCCCCCAGGCCGAGGATGCGGGCTCCCCGGCCACACCCCCAGCCAAGTGTGTCAGCCCCCGCCGAGGCATTTCACCCTGGAAGTCACTTGCACTGTGCATAGTCCAGAGAGCTCTGCCCCCAGGTCTGAGCTGGTGTGGGGTGCTGTCGCCGTCTCCGGGGCCCGTCTGCTCGCCCCTGTCCCCGCCACCGCGGCACGAGCATCCGCGTGTGGGCGCGTTCCTCATTCTGCTCATTCTGCCCCCTTTCCCGTCGTTCGGGTATGTTTCATTTGGGTCTTGATTTCTTTGAGTCGATTTCATTGGTGGATTTGACCCATTTCCTCTCTACCGTGTCACTGAAAAGCCTTCCAGCGTCTTGTCCGAGCAGGCGTACTTGTAAGCATGGCCAGCAGAGCCCGCCCGCTGGGCCCGGCTGGTCCGTCAGCATGGCCGGACGTGCTCCTCGGGGCAGCCTCGTCGGTCTGCCTGCCCATCCATCGTCCATCCGTCCCCCACTTTTCTGAGACCTGCTCCATCTGTCTCCAGGCTGGGGTTCAGGGTGCAGGGGTTCTGGGCTCGGCCCCACCCCCCGGCGCCCCCAGCCCAGCAGGGTCCGTGGGTCTGACCCGGTTTTGTGCTGGGGCTGGCAGGGGCACCGAGAGGCCACGTCCCAGGCAGGCGCCTCACTGGCAGGAAGTTTGGGGCGTTGCTCTACTCTCCGCCCTCGTGAGAGCAGCGTTCACGCTCTGCACGCCCCAGGCCGGGGGCGCGGGCTGCCTGGGCCTCTGCCTCGCTTCCTCAGACGTGGCCTCGGCCACCAGCCCTGCCCCACACGTAATCCTGAAATCCGGGGTCGGAATGGGCGGCTGGTGGTCCTTCTCGCAGTCGAGCTGCGCTTCCTGCACCCCGCCCGCACCCTGCAGGGCCATACCTGCGGCCAGCCCCCGGGGACCCTGGCCCTCTGAGCAGAAGCCCCAGCCTTTCTGCACTGTAAGTGAAGGCCCACCGCCGCCCGAGGCCATTGCCAGTGGCAGACGCCCAGCTCCTGTGACAGGGAGGGGTCTCGCACAGGCCCCCAAGCGGAGGGCTGCGTGCACGAGAGGCGAGATGGGGCGCATGGCCTGAGAGCCGGTCAGGCTGGACAGGCCTCAGGCGGGTCCCCTCCGGCCGCAGAGCTCCCCGCCCCCTCGCTCAAACTCCAATGACACGTCTGTGAACCAGGCCTGACCGCCCAGGTGGGAACCCCAGGCTGGGCCAGGCCTCCAGAAGCCCAGCCCTCCGCCTGCCCCTGAACATTTCGAGCTTCCCAGAGGAAGAGGGCTCAGCAGCCCGGATGACCACTCTGACTGCGGGGACCTTCCTCCCCGGCGGACCCGCCCACTTGCCCCACAGGTCGGCATAAGTGAAGAGGCAACGGTCCTGCTCCAGCCTCAGCTCTGACCGTGGATGTGAGGGGCCTTCAGGCGGTGGGACGCGGCCGGCTTCCCTGCCCCCAGGGCCCTGCTGGTGACCCGAGCACCTGCCCCAGGGTCAAGCAACTGGACCCCAGCCGGAGCAGCAGGCCAGCGCCAGGCCGGGGTGGCTGCGACCTCTAAAGCGTTTGTGATTTCCTCTTTCTAAAAAGAAAGAAAAGACGGAGGAAGACCTCGTCTCGCATGTCCAGCAGCTCTGGGACCACGCTCCACCCACAGCGGGCCTGGGACTGTGGTCTGCAGAGCCCCACTCGGGTGCCCCTGTCCTGGGCTGCACGCACTGGCACAGCAAAGTGGGACCCCCACGTGGAAGTTTGGTGTGATCCCATGTACTCCCCAGGAGGGGGAGTCCTGATTAAACACTATGCGCACACTGTGTGCCTGTGTCACCCCAGGTAAAGCCCCCCGACCCACCCACAAGCTTAGCTGATGGAGCCTGGGGTGCAGGGCTGGGCTCGGCAGGGAGCACAAGCTCCTTCTGCCCGCAGGGCAAGGCCCTTCCTCCTGCTGGCACTGCAGCTGTTCTCGGCCGGGATCTCAGCAAACGGTCCCGCTGTGTCCCAAGGTGCCAAGGCGATCACAAGCCACCTTCCCTGAGAGGCAGGGCTTTGGTGGACAATCATGAGTTCAGTCTCAGCAGTGGCCATGGACAAGTTGATTCTAAGAGTCCTTAAAATGCTGAAAACAAAAGGGTGTTGGGGGGAGGGGGGAAGGGGTGTCCGCTCCCCGAGGAAGCATCTGGGGGAAC